GCCTGCGTGCGGTAGAAACTGGTGCAGCCAGCACCCCCTGAACGAGCAAACCAAGCGCTGTGGAAGAAGGCAGAGAAGTGAGGAAGGTGAGAGGAGAGGAGAGAAGAGGAGAGGAGAGGAGAGGAGAGGAGAGGAGGTGGGGGGCCAGGACCGGCGGACCCGCTTACGAACCTCCTTTTACAAAGGGGAGGTGAGAGAGGGAAGGGAGAGGAGGTGGGCTAGGCGGGCTTGAGCGCGAAAGCTCATAGCGATCCCCCCCCGTTAAGAACCCCCAAGTCCCGATGAGGAGAGGAGGTGGGCTAGGCGGGCATGAGCGCGCACGCTCAATGCGATCCCCCCCCGTTAAGAACCCCCTAGTCCTCACCCCCTCGTCACTCAACCCCGTCAACCTCACACCTTCCGCACCTGTCTTCCCCCGCCACCCCCTCACCCTTCTGCACTTCTCCCCCCCCCCCCCCCCCTACAGCAACAGTTGCTGCAGGGAGAGAGGAAGAGGGAAGGGAGGGAGGAGTGGCAGGCTCCTCACACCCGCCCCCCCCCCCCCCCCCCCCTACAGCAACAAGTGCTGCAGGGAGAGAGGAAGAGGGAAGGGAGGGAGGAGGTGCTGGCTCCTCACAACCTCACACCCGCCACCCCCACATCTCCCCCTCCTCCCCCCCCCCCCACGACGGAAGCAGTGGAAGGGAGGGCGGGCGGGAGGGGGCAGGGCGGCGGTAGCTGCTGCTGGCGCTGGCGGTAGCTGCTGCTGGCGCTGGCGGTAGCTGCTGCTGGCGCTGGCGCTGGCGGCTGGCGCTGGCGGTAGCTGCTGCTGGCGCTGGCGGTGGCGGCTGGCCGCGGTGGTGGCGTCCGCGCTGACGGGCCACGCTGGCGGCGGCGCCTGCGGTCCGGGCTGGCGCGGGCGCTGGCGACGGAACGGGGGGCCGCGAGGCGACGAAACGGGGTTCGCGGACGACGGGAACTGGGGGGCAGCGGGCGACGGGCAGGGCGTCCGCGGGGCAGCCGACGGGGCGTCCGCGAGGCAGCCGACGTGGCACGTTCGGGGGGACGGGCAGGGCGCGCGCGACGGGCGAACGGGGAGAAAAAAAAAATAGCGCATTTCGCGCTGTAGTACGGGCGGGCCCATGATTCTTAAAAAAAAAAAAGAGAAGGTTCCGGGAAAGAACCAGCTCTGTACCATGTTAAGATAGTAGCTAGAGGTGAGGAGCCATGCTAGGGTGAAGAGGAGAAAGTGTCGAGAGAGTTTAGGCAAGGAAAAGGGGTTTCACTATAGCACACAAGGTACATATAGCAAAGTAACATAGAAGGTGCACCACCAACTCTTAATAATAATAACTACAGTACCTACAGCACGCAGGGTATATATTAAACATATTGTTTGACAGAGACTTACCTCGTGCTCCACCACATGTCCAAATAACCTCTCAGAATCTGTGAGACCCGGAGATTGAAATTTAAGCTTTCTTAACAGCTATCTCCAACGGTACAACAATGTGAACTAGACTTCGACCGTTCTCGCCCGTTACCAGCTGCCACTGCTAGTTAGCATTGTGCACCACCTTGTGTCAAGTTGGCATGCGGTAAGTTGTGATATGAGAGTAGCGTGACCAGCATTGCTACACCGTCATACCCCGTCCGCACCCTGTACACACCACGCGACCCGCACCCTGGACCCCGTCCGACCCGCACCCTGGACCCCGTCCGACCCGCACCCGCCCCGTCCGCTCCACGATCCCCGTCCGCAGCCCGCACCCCGTCCACACCCCATGCCCCGTACGCGCCCAGTCCGTGCCTCGATCGTGCCCCGCTCCCGTAACCACCGCCCGCTCCCGACCACTTCTCTGCCGCGCATGACATTGAAGGGGGGAGGCTGAGGGGGTGGCGAGAGGGACTCTCCAGGGACAGCTGTGGGTGGGGAAGGGTCTGGAGGAAGGGTTGGGGGGCTGCTGAAAAGGGGGGTGAGGTTATAGGGGGTGGTTGAATCGGGGTGGGAACTTGGGGGTTCGTAAGCGGGTTCGCCGGCACCGGCCCCCCACCTCCTCTCCTCATCCCTCTCTCACCTCTCCCTTCGTAAAAGGGGGTTCGTAAGTGTGTTCGCTGGCACGGCCCCCCACCTCCTCTCCCCATCCCCCCCCCCCCCCTTTATAAAAGGGGGTTCGCAAGCGTGTTCGCCGGCACTGCCCCCCCCCACCTCCTCTCCTCTCTTTCTCTTTCTCTCTCTCTCTCTCTCTCTCTCTCTCTCTCTCTCTCTCTCTCTCTCTCTCTCTCTCTCTCTCTCTATCTCTCGCCTCCTTTTCCTCACTTACCTCTCTGCCGTCTTCCATTGCGAGAGGTGTACCCTCTTCAGGGGGTGTTGACCGTACTAGCTATGGTATCGTTGCAAGCAGTTTGGGGGACGGTGTGTTGAAATTTTATTTCTAAATAAATTGCTTGTTGTGTAGTTTAGTGCAGTTATGCCTTGTTACTGTTGGTGGTGTAACCCATTGCATGTCTACCTTGCCTATTTCTACTCTCGATTCTCTTTAGTGAAACCCTTTCTTGAGAAACTCTCGCTCTCGTGCCGCACGCTACTCACGCTTCTCTTGCTATGGTTCTCGTTTCTAATCTACGTATCTAGCGTCCTACAGTATCGCACGTGATTATATAGCAGCAGTAGTACTTGTGCGTTGGACTAATCAGGGCCCTATTTAGTTTTTTTTCTCCCAACTCATAGGAGAAAGTCTAGCTGGTGTGTTGAAGAATCAGGAGACCTGAAAAGTATTTTGCAAGAGTTCCATATAACAATGTTACTAAGGCCTTGGTCGTGGAATAGTTATCGCACAGTGCGATGCAAAGAAACTCTAACCAGGGTGTGGGTTCGTCAGACCCTCAATTTTCCATTTCGTTCGGACGACATAAGAGGTTCGGCCAGATTTTTACGGGCTGACCATGCTGACGGAGCTTAACGAACCCTAACTGACGGGATCAGGAAGGCGTGACTGACCTTCCTGATCTCGCCGTTTTTGCTTTCATAAGTGCTGGCGAACACCGCCAGTGTGAATGACTCGTTAAGAAGACTACAAGAACAGTAAAACGCCTTGTAACACCACAGCCTATGACAAATCAGCTGTCGTTTTTCCTCGAGCAGGAGCCAACAAGGCTGTCGGTATGTCCGATGAAGGGGGAAGGGGAGGTGGGGTGGACGAGGTACTGGGAGAGGTGGTGGTACTGGAGGTTGATGTGGGAGGATGCAGGCCACGTACATCGCATCCACTGCCGCTAATAAGATGCCAAACCTGTCGCCCCCACTTGCCCCAGACCTGGTCTGGCCTGGTTTGGAGGCCAGCCTGCCGGAGCTCAAGCAGAATCACACACTCCCTTCCTCTGTCTCCGCTCCGCATCCCTCCCTCCCCCTTCCCCTTGTTCCTTCTCTTCCTCCCCCCCCTCCCCCACACTCTGTCCGCGCCCCCACGTTCAAGATGTGGTCGCAAACTCGTGGACAAGCCAGACCGCCACAACCAAGGGAAGAGCAAGGAAACCAACTTCTAGGGTGGTGTGGACATCAAAACTCATGTGGGTGAGATGAGATGTGTGTGGGTGGTGTGCATCACCTCATCACTTCAACAGCCTTGATACTTCACCTGACGTTGAGAGAGGACAACTTAAACATTTTAGCGGGCGGGTGTAGTTCTCAAGGCCACTGAAGCCACTGCCCTTTTAGAACGTAGTTCGCAGCTTTAACCCTAAATCGTTCCTGCTTCTTGTCTTGCTGGATGGACGTCGGTAGTTGTGGTCAGGAATAGCGAAGGCTGGTGCACTTGGTGTTTCGCGTGCGTGTGTTCTTTTACATTCCGATCTTACTCGGTCATTCGTAGACTCACGAGATTCTTCGGGATAAGCATTCATACAAACCATGTCTCACTCGCGACTCACTCTTAGAGCTCTTGCTTCCCCACAGATAATTATTTATTTCACGCTCGTTTAGTTTTCGTCATCCCCCGTTTCTGCATCTTCTCATTTTGAAACAGTTGTTCTGTCGTCACGCTCCCATCGCCCTCCCGACTATAACATTTACTTACCCGGAACCGCGTTAAGGGGCCTCGTTAAATCCCTCCCGCCACCCTGCTCCCGCACCTCCATCGCCCTCGCTCCGCATATCCGACTTAATCCCTGCAATGTCCGGCATATCATCTGAAGGCGGCAGCGGCGGCGGCGGCGGCGGAGGAGGAGGAGTATCGAGTCGCGTTGCGCGGTTCCTTCCATGGACGAAACGAGACGGCGTCAGGTCTCCGTCCAGCCCCGAAGGCGGCGTGCCGACCGCTTCCACAGGAGCTGCTGGCGGCTCCGCGACCGGCCGTCCCTCTTCCGGCGCCGGCGCGAGCGGAGCTGGCAGCAGTTTAATAGCCCCGGCAATGAAGCTGGTGGGAGGACGCTTATTGGACGGCGTTACCGGCGAGGGCGCGGTGAATAGCAGCCCTAAGCGGACACCGCACGGGGAAAAATCGCGGGGCTCTTCGGGTTCTGCCACTTCCGGAGACTCCCGCCGGTCCAGAGGCGGAGGAGTCTTGGGCAGATCGGTTCCCGCCCCGCTCGTCCTGCCGTTCGCGAATCGCCTATCCGCATCCGCCTCTCCCTCTCGCCATCCCCCCGCGTCCCCTTCCTCCGCCACCCTCCCCTTCCCGACTTCCGCAACAACGTCCGCTTCCGCCCCATCCTCCGCCTCCGCTTCCCCATCGCTGCTCTTCACATCCTCCCCGCCCAACGGCCTTCCGCCGGTCTCACCCTCCACCAATACTGTCGCCCTCGTTGCGCCTGCGGTTGCAAATCCGCCGGCGAATCTCCCCCCAAGGTCATGCTCGCCGGCGTCAGGATCAACGTCCCCAAGCACGCGGCTTTCGTCTTCCTCCTCCGCCTCTTCCTCCGCGACCCACTCGTCCTCCGCCATTCCTCTCTCATCGCTCTCCGCCTCTTCGCTTACCGGGCCGTCGAACCTCTCTCCGCGGCCGCTAACGGCACCCACGTTGTCAAGTAGTCGGTCGGATGAGGCGCCGGTGAGTTCCTCCCGCGGGCTGCGGCTAGCGTCGTTTATCACAGGCACCGGGGGTAGCAACAAGGAAAGAAGCATTTCCGCGTCCTCCGCCGCCGCAGTCGCCGCCGCGTCTGCAGCGGCGGCGGCTCTGCTCGTAGACGCAAGCAGTGGGGCGGGGGGCTTAGAATCCCGACAGAATTCCCACAGCAACCACCACCAGCAGCAGACGCAGCAGCAGCAGCAGAGTCTATCACCGAGTGGCCGGCAGTCAGTCGCGATCCAAATCGACTCCTCGCGCCTGTCCCCTCGCCCTCTCTCCGCGGTTCCGCTTCCCGAAGCCTCGAGTTCTCCCACTGGCGGGGCCGCCGCCGTTGGAGCTTCTGTTACCAGTGCCGGCGTTGGCGGTGGTGCTGGTTCTAATAGTAGCTTGGCCGCAAAGACTCTCCCTAGTATTCCGTCAGTCTCTGATTTGTTGGTAATTTCTTCCGCCTCATCCTCCTCTCCCACCGTTTCCTCCTCAGCAATCCCCTTGTCCTCCTCCTCCTCCTCCTCCTCCTCCTCCTCCTCTTCCTCCTCCTCTTCCTCCTCTTCCTCTTCCTCTTCCTCCTCTTCCTCCTCCTCCTCCTCTTCCTCTTCCTCCTCCTCCTCGTCCTCCTCCTCTTCCTCCTCCTCCTCTTCCTCCTCCTCCTCCTCCTCCTCCTCGTCCTCCTCTTCCTCCTCTTCCGCTCCCTCCTCGTCCTCTTCCTCCTCCTCGTCCTCATCCTCCTCTCTTCGCCGTAAGCCCACGGGTAGCTCCACCGATATCGCCACATTAGGGTTCGATGCACGTGCAGCCGCAGCTGCAGCCGCCGCAGCCGCACACGCCCTCCCCACTCCCCCAACCGCGTCCACTCTCCCCGCGCCACCCCCTCCTACTGCCCTCCCCGCCGCTCCCCCAGCTAGCGCTACCAGCAGCGGAGCCAGCGCGGGCGGGGGGAAATCGGGGGGAAGTCAGGGGGGTTTGTCCACTGGGGGGGAAGCCGCCAAAGCGGACGAGGGGGGAAGCCGTTCCGTTTTATCCCGCTCCCGCGTGCGTACAGCGCAACCTCTTTCCCTCCCCCCGCCGTTGCTCTCCTCCTCCTCGCTCCCGGCCCAAGCCAACCGTCAAGGCGGATCAGACGTTTCAGGATTAAGTAGTACTCTGGCCGCGTTAGGTGCGGGGCCTGGGGCGTCGATACTTAAATCGTCGCAGCAGCACGCGCAGCCGCTGCCTGCGGCGCTGCCAGCCGCGTCCCCCTCCGCCATCCCCTCCGCGCTCTCCTCCGCGCTACCCTCCGCGCTCCCGTCACCCTCCGCGCTCCCCTCACCCTCCGCGCTCCCCTCTGCGCTTCCTTCCGTTCCGCTCAGTAGCGCCTCCGCAGCGTCCGACGCGCAGGGGGCAGCGGGGGGATCAGGAGCAGCGCCGCTGGCGCGATCGTCTGGGTCAGGGGTTGCAAGCGGTTCAAGTGGGGGACAGAAGGATTCGAGGTCGTGCCCCGTGAAATGGGCCAAGGGGCAGGAGCTTGGGCGCGGCAGCTACGGCACTGTGTATGAAGGGCTCAACCTGTGAGTCGCATTGCATCGTATGCTGCGCATTGATGAGAAGCTTTTGCAATTTCTCTTTTGCAAAAGCGACTCAGGAGCTTGGGCGCGGAAGCTATGGCACCGTACATAAAGGGCTTAACCTGTGAGTTGTCTTTGTCGCGTGTGACGCATACTTGTGTGGTGACTCACACACGTGACGCATGGGACGCACGTGAACACATGTGAACGCATGTGTTGCATGTGAACGCATGTGACCCACACATGTGACGCGTTGCTCAGAAACCGCCCGCAAGAATCGTTACTTGGGTGGCTTGGCTGGGTGGCAGCTTTACGTTTGTGCTCTTCGCTTTACGAAGGACAATACTGCAGGCGGCTCGAGGGTAGGGTTTTGAGTCTGGGTTGACAACGTCAGAGTTTTTTTTTTTTTTTTTTCCCTGTGTGTGCGAAGGTGGTTTGTGTGGCGCAACATGTGAGCTGCTTGGTAGAGCGCTTTTTTACTCGAGAAACAATCTCGTTCTTGCTCACTCTCTTGCTCACTCTCTTGCTCACTCGCTGGCCCACTCACTCGCTGGCCCACTCACTCGCTAGCTCACTCACTTGCTCGCCACAGCTCAAAACTCTCAATGGAGTATATATGCTCCGGCGTTCAAGTATCATATCAGTACCTTTCCTGGGTCTCGTCCTTGCCTTCCCTTCCCTCTCCCTTCTACTCCCTTCCCCAACCCCCCCCCCACCCGTATTCACCCTCCTTCCCCGCATCCCCCTTTCCCCTGCCTCGTGACCTCCTGTTCGCCCTTCCTGTGCCCCACTTCCCCGGAACTTGTTATGGCCTACGTGTACGATGTGTGTGCTGCAGGGATGATGGGAGCTTCTTTGCCTTGAAGGAGGTCCCATTGAATGGGGATCCGGCTCTTGCACAGGAAATAGAGCAGGTTTGTCTTGTCGTACTTATCCATTGTTCCCTTTTTGTTTCTGTACCCATGAGTGGGTGTCTGATGCGTTTAGCTCTCTGAAAGCTCCTTTTGAGTCACTGCCGCCTCCTCCTCCCTTCACTACCGCCTCTCCCTCCCTTCACTGACTTTTGAGGCGCCTAAAAAACCCTTTACTGCCACCTCTCCCTCCCCTCGTCTGCTCTCCCACTGGGAGGTGGAACTGATGAGCCATCTGCAGCACCCCAACATTGTGTGGTACCTCTCGCCTCTGGCTCCTTCGTTTAAAAGCTCTTGTCCAACATGAACCTGCCGTCTATTCTCTTCTCTGCCCTTACACTCCACACCAGGAGGTGGAGCTGATGAGCCGCCTGCAGCACCCCAACATTGTGCGCTACCTGGGCACGTGTCACCGCAGTGGAACGCTCTACATCTTTCTAGACCTGGCCAAGGCGTCGCTGGCGTCCATGCTGAAGAAGTACGAGCGCTTTGGCGACGCGCTCATCCGCACGTACACACGCCAGATCCTGCATGGGCTCGCGTACCTGCACATGCAGAACACCATGCACAGGTGGGCGGTCGGGATGGGATGGTGGGATGGTGGGATGGTGGGATGGTGGGATGGTGGGATGGTGGGATGGTGGGATGGTGGGATGGTGGGATGGTGGGATGG